CTTTCCTGTTCCAATTTTGTAGTGCACCATAAATATCTTTTTGAAGAAAAACAGTCCCGATCAACAGTATCTTCAGGTAAATCTCTTTCTATTCTGCATATATACAATTTACCATAGATGTAGTATCAAATAAGTGGTGATTCTAGCTTTCTCTGTTAGTTGCTGAAAAACTGTGAGTGCTGCTACTATTACCTTCTGATACACCTTAGGCATAAAGAAGGAATCAGTAGTGGTAGATGAATCCTAGATTTAGGAATGTATTTATTAAGCAAAAATCACTTACATGGAAAACTGAGCCACCCACCTACCAACAGGACCTCAGTCTTATCTGGACTAAATCTCAATTTATTGGCCCTTATCCAGGCCATCACACTGGCCAGACACTGGTTAAAGACAGTCACTGCCTCACCTGCAGCTGGAGCTTCCCAACTCCAGCAGCAATAGATAGAGCAATTGAAATCAAAATCCAATTTGCTGTCACAGTTAAATCCACAATTGAGCAGCAATAAATCAATTGATCTTTCTATCGGTACATGTATAACTTTTTTTCTATACTTTCAATTATAGGCTAAAGTTGAATAAATTTGCAGTTAAAATGATATTGATACACAGAACTTCTTTCTAAAACTCTTCTGTCAGACCACTTCCTTGATGATGGCCTGAAAACAGAATAGATGTTTTGTTGTTCTTGGGAAGAATCTGTATTTACTAGTTTATCTGTTACTATTTTTCTGTCTCCCACCAACATTTCAGGAACTCCTTCGGCAGATAAGAAAGACCTATGCAAATGTGAAAATCTTATTACATTCCAGAATTTTGCAAATGCTGAAGTTAGAAAACTAACACAGCAACATATCCTTTTGATAAACTGATTTGTAGTTCATAAATTCTTGTGTGATATAATAAATTAAATATATGAATGTATAACTTATCACATTAACAGTGTAATCCTACACATGACTACTCAATAACAGTTCTGTTAAGCTCAGGGCTTGCTCCTTCAGTAGCTGTGCATAAGATTATAGCCTTGGGGTACAATCCTATACAAGCTTAGTCAGAAAAAACAGCCTACAACTTTCAGTATGCAAGGAGTTGTAAGCTTTTTACTGGCTAATCTTGCAATTCTAGTATCATTTAATAGAATCTGAAACAGTTTCAGTTGGTTGTATTCCCACCCCACTCCTTGTAACAGTTCACTTCCTCTAGTATGGCATGGATGGAAGGACACCACCAAGCAGGTTTGACCCTATTGGGAAACACCCTTTTTAAACTTTTACATTTTCAAACTGATATGCTTCTGCTATTAGAGGAATTCCTATACATATAGAAATATGCTACATTTAGGTAGTGTTTTGCTTTCAAACTGGTACACACGTGATTTCTTGAGCTGAGAATAACTCTTCAGTGGGCTGTTTTGGAACCATTTTATCCCTTTTGTTAAAGAGTTTTGTGCCTCTGAAAACGTTGAACTTCCCCTAAGCGTTCTGATACTTTACCTAATAGCTTAATGTTCCTGTTCTGGTCTCAATCCTGCTCATAATTACCTGAGTTCACCACTGGGCAGAAAAATGAGCAACACTAGATACCATTATTTGGCTCTTGAGGCATGTCTTTTACTTGAATGGCAGTGGCCTGTTTTTCAACCAGAACAGAGGTATTTGGTCTGCTAGTACAATAATGCTAATGCACCACTTACCATTATGGAGCTTTGAAAAGTTGCATTGGTATAGTTGCTCTATGTGGTGAGAAATGTGAAGCACATGCTCCCCCTAGCTGCAATTATAAAATTCAGAGTAACAGTATATAATGTGGTTCCAATCCTGCAAAGTTATCAGTATTTCCAGTGTGGTACCAACCCAATATGCGGTTGCAGTCCAGAGAACACCATGGGTACAATTCAGATTTACACACAGCACTTCCCAGAAGGAAGGGGTGGGGCAGCTATCTTCATCAGTCCATTATCCGGGCAGTTGCTTGAAAAACTGTTCTGGAAAGTGGAGGGACCCTTCAAAACAGCATGAAAGTGGCAGTGTGTGATGGTGGCAGACGTGAAAAGTAATTTGCAATAATTATTACCCCACCCTTCTGCCAACAGGAAGTCTCTGCTGGATCCTAGTGCTCTCTATCAATGGAAGGAAGAAAAGTCTGGATCCAACCCAATGAGTATTACAGCTAGAGTCTGTCAGCTGCTGCAGACACAAGTAGGAAGGACCTGGTACAACTTTCATTTATCCTAGCTTTCCACTGTAGGTACAACTCCACTACTACCAGGAAAGCACTTTTGCAGCAAAGCTATTACACATCCCAGTAAGAAGATACCTTTAGATGTATCACTGATTTAGGGCATTGCAAATGGCTGACCAAATTATTCCATGGGGCAATAGTTCTTGGGTTTTCCTTGACAAGTATGAGAAATTGGTTTATTATATGCATATAGTCCAGGTGAATGGTATAGTGTAAGAGTGAAGGACTGGGACACAAGAGATTTGGGCTCTAGTCCCTACTCGGCTATGGAACTTACTGGGGTGAGTTACTGTTTCAGCCCAATCCATCTCACAAGGTTGTTGTGAGAATTACATAGGCCACCTTGAGTCCCTTGAAAGGAACTGTATACTAAATAAATTTATTTAGTAAATAAATAAATGCCAACCCTCTAAGGATGATTGGCTATTCAGCAGCATAGAAATGTGATAATTGGGTCTGGAAGCACAAGCACTCGCAGTCATATGCACATGCCTGGATATATATTTGTAGTATCATAGCAATACTCCCACAGCTACCACTGAACTGGTTAAGAGCAGCCTAACTGGATTAGACCAAAATCCTCTCCTTGTTTCATTCAGTGGCCCACCCAATGTCTTTGGCAAACTCAGAGCCAGGTCATCACTTCTGTTGCAGGTAAGGATGAAAAATTCCATATGAAACACTAATTATCAGCAGTTGCATTGCAACCTTATTTGTAAAATGTTATTGCATAAACAATCCTGTGCAATATTACAAATTGAACTGAAGAGTTGTTTTCCTTAATTTATGATTACTAGAAGAAATGTCAAAAAGAATGGAAGACTTGGAAAATCGATTGAGATATTAATGAATTGTTGTCAACAAAAGTATGTATTGTGCTGGATAGTTATACATAAAGATAATGTATCAAAGTTATGTATCAAAGGTCCAGTATCCAGCCATGAGAAAGAAGAAATTATGCCTTCAGTGCATCAACCAAGTACCAATTATATTGCATTTTAATTGACTGCTGATAAAAGTGCAAGATGTTTGGTAAAGTTATACTATCTTTTTCAATTGAGATAAGCTATGTAATATAATAAAATGGTGCTACAAAAAGCATTTAAAATGGTTTAGAAGCCTAAAGAGCTATGGTGTAGAATTGCTGTGTTAGTGTTCCAGTGCTTCAACTGTAACATTATATATGGAGGTGGGGGCATTTGCAGAGAGTGCTTAACCTTTTGTGCACTCAGTAGTTACTCCCTGCAAATGGATTCTGAAGGAAAAATGCTTTGGGGTTAGTGTTACAAGTGCTTGATTAAACACTCCCATTTTTCCTGTTCTCCTAAATAGCAGGCATGTTTGATATACATATATCCATCAGTGTCTTTCTGATAGCACAAAGGCTGTTACACTAGCATGAACTAGGTTTTGAACTACTGCAAGACAATCCAACTAATGCTTATGCAACCAGTTGTGTTTGTGTGCACAGCTGCCTGTACAATGGAAGGGGTCGGCAGAGCTCTGCTTTTACTGTTTAAGTTTGTGTGAAAATAATGTTGGATATTGTCCATAATGGTGTAACATGTTAAGTTCTACTGCTAGAAATACAGCATTCAAAATCCTGAGAGGCTGTTTTTAGTCAAGAGTATAATAGCGAAATTGGATATGCTCTATAAAGCTGTTTTCCAGGGTGAGTGGGGCAAAAAACCAGGCAAGTATTCTATAGGAAAACAGCTCGTGCCAAAATAAAAATCAACATAAGTGGACAACTTCAAATTATAAGAAAAAACACAGTAGAAGTCCAGTGATTTTATTTTCACCCCCAGCATCTGCTGTTTCTTAGCTACGTTCATCTCAAGATACTCTTTTTCTGCTGCCAACTAGAAGCATTTACTGATTCCAGAATGAATAATCTATCATATGCATGCACTACCAAGCATACACATCCCTACTGCATAAAAACCTTCTAGCTTTTGGTGTTTAAACTTTTTATGGTAATAGGCTTGCTGTTGACCTCAACAACCGATTGGAGTATTTCTGAAGTGTTTGAAGCTAAACTGAGCCACTTCAATATTCCACATACTGCTCAGAAAATATAGAGTGAATCTTGTGCTGGTTTCAATTCAGTTTTTTAAAAGAACATTTTACGGAGTAAAAGCCACTGGGGTGTAGTGATTGTTAAATTCAGGTCTCTGGAGTCCTCATTCAAGTCATCACAGCAGCTTTGATTTTTAACCCAGTCACTTATTCTCAGCCTATTGTACCATGATGTTGTGAGAATAAAATGCAGAAAATCATTTATGCTATCTTAGCATCTTTGGAGGAAAAAAGGGGATATACATTTATGCAAAAAGTATGCTGAATTTGGTTCAAGTTACTGTTATTGAAATGAATGGGAAAGTGAACCAGCCTTTCCCAAACTTATGCCTTCCCAATATTTTGAACTTCAAACAACCCTAACAACTTTGCAAAAGTAAGGAAAAGTTAGCATTTTGTATCTGTAAAAAATCATTTTTATGTGGTTATACTACCTTTAAGAACCATAGATTATAAAAGGAAATGTACAGAAAAGTAAAAACAAAGGATTTCAGAAGTCTACAGGATCCCAGAATACACTATATCCTAGGATGGCTGGATTTATGAATTAAGATTTATCATGGCACAGGTTAATGCTTGTCATCATGAAAACCTGCAACACAAATCTTTGTAACGTGTCATGTCCAAAGAAAGAAGTTTCTCTAGAGGCAATCACAATGATAGTTGAAGAGAAAATGGGAGCCCACTAAGGACATGTGTACCAAGATAGAATGGTGGGGTTTCAGCCAAAAATTCCTCAGCTACATAACGCCCATCTGAAGAACCAATTACAGGTAAGCAACCTGCCCTTGAACTGTAGAAGAAACCAAGCTTGTTTGTAACACTTAGAACCAGCTCTGAGCATTTGTAAAAAAAAAACTTTTCATTTCCAGTCATCCTGTGCTATGATAGCTATGCCATCAGTTAGGCTTGAACTATGGATCAGGGGTCTGACAACTAGCAAAGACACATCTAGCCAAGCATATCACTTTGTTTCCTTCTGAATCTGTGTATAGGTTGACTTGTCTATTTCTGTTTGGATTATAGACAGTCTTGATTAGTTTCAGTTGGATTCATGCCTACATCAATTGTACATTCACAACTGATCGGCATGTTTAGCAAAACCAAAACTTGGCTTGGAATGAATCAGCATGGCACAATTCCAGATAATACAGTTAAAGAACTCGGAGCTAATACTGTTTGCCAGCTTTTTTGTTAAATCACCAGAGGAAAGTTGTATTCTCTGTGGAGCCTTGCCTATACTAGTTTTGAGCAAGGCATGACCACACTCATTGTTACAGCTTTGAAATAAGACATCCCCATATTTCAAGAGGTCACATCTCATCAAGAATGAAGCAGTACATCTGAAAGGTGCACTGTGGAAAGCCCAGCTTCAAGGTTCCAAGTTCTCTATGTACTTCATAGAATCAAAAGAAGGGTGAAGTTTGAAGGGGCCATGAAGGCCATCAGGTCCAACCCCCTGCTCTTGCAGGACACCAGTTTACACTATCCCACTAGATGGCTGTCCAGTTTCTTTTTGAATGTCTCTAGTGTTTGAATGTGTCTACTAGTATCCCTAGACATCCAGGACCAATTCAAGGTACTGCAATATAAAATCTGCAATGGCTTGAGAATTGTATAACCTCTTGTAATCTCAGAATATCTGTATTTCTATCTAGTTGATAAAAGCCTATTGTGCATGCACATATAACATGGCCACTGGCTTTTTCAGTAAATAAAACAAGACACTGATCTTGTAAGAGTGTAAACAGCTTTGTGGTACCTTTAAGACAGAAAACATTTCCTTCCAACTCCTGGTATTCTCCAATCTAAACATTGTAAGATAGCCTTTGGGAAGAATTACAGAATCTCTGCAATTGTGTCAGTTTTCAACAGCCAAGGTAAAACAAGCAATTCGAGAACTTTAACAAGGGTGCTTGTCTTGCTGGGGAGGATGATGCTCTGCATCAGTTTGTTTGCCATAGTCCTATTTTCTACTGTAACTAAACCAGAGCATGGTTAATGCAATGGAACTGTATTTCCTCCCATTTTACCCATGCCTCCTTGCTCCATTTACCCTGCTTCTCCTTTTTCATTTATATAATAATCTCCCTAAGGTAGGAAGCTGCCCTCTGGTAAACAGATTCACACTAGTGGTGATATATGCTATTATTCCACAACATCTAAACTTCAAGCATTATAAACAAAGATGCAGGAAGTAACAGGACATCTCCATCTCAGATGTACAATATGTGTATACAACCAGTGTGGATGAATCCCATAGCAGGACCCAATCTGTAGCTGCATGTTCTGGCATTAATGGGCCTTTTAGGCTATATTCTCATTTGTTTGCTTGATCGTGTAAACTTTGTTTCCTCCACTTTCCATGCCATTTAATGCATCTAACTCATGAAAGCTAATGCCAACAATATTTATAACCAGTTTTATTACACAAAATTTAAAGTTCTGCCATGTTTACTTTTCACTTTGTTCTGGCATGCTTCTAATGATGTCGGAATCACCTGTTGGAAGAAAAAACACCGCATTTTAGCATCAAAACTTTGGACTAAAAAAACTTTGTCTTGCCTTGATGGCTAGGAATTATGGGACTTGTAGCCCAACACATCCAAGGGGCACAAAATTTGAGAAAACTACACAATCAGTTCTTCATGTGAAGATGCCTGAAGTATTTGGTTAAAGAATTGCTGAACAACAACCATTTTTCCTTTAATAATTACTTGCATATACTAGCTCTAGATTCGATATTTCCATACATTTGAGATGCTTGACCGTAAATAAGCCAACAGTACTAGAATTAAAATCTGTGAATGTTACTTGCAGTTAAAAACCAGAACTAGGGAGACAAACTTGCCCTGGAGACACACTGCACAGTGATAATATAGCGAATGTCTAGCCTGCCCTGATCACTGAAATATCAGGACAGCGAGAATGTATTCGCAATCTTTTATAAACTCAAGCTAGAACAGCTTAAAAATATAATTTGAATATCATGATCTTTGCATACGTCTTAAATTTACTTCAGTGGGAAGCCTTATAGCCTCAAGATTGATTTACAATGCAACTCCAAATTTTAAGATAAGAAACGAAGTTCTGGGGAAGCAAATGCAGACTATGATTACCAGATTACTCATTCTAGAACTATCCAAATTCACCAGGTATTACCACCTTTATACATTTTACAAAAATCTGGCCAGTTCTTGATAACTAAGTTCTTTGTTACATTTATATAAAATCAGAATACCAGTTAAGTGGAGAACTTCTCCAAAAGTTAGTGTGAATTCTAGATTTTTGCAGAACCCAGACAATAATAAATGCATGTCAATGAATCTATAATAGGCCACACTGGCCAGGAAAGATGTAAGAACTGCAGGTATATGATTCTAAACAAAACATACATACCTGGATCAATGATAGCCAGTGTACATACTCTGTAGTACTTTCCACAAGCTGTACCCAATTCAATATTATTGCCACTGTAGTGGTGCACACCAGTTTTGGCCAACATAGCATAGTACTCAATTTCTGATTTCCTGCAAATTAAATACACATTAAAGTAACAACACATGCTCAGTCATGGCTAACTTAAGACACAACTTTATTATGTTTTTTCCTAACATTTATGGGAAAAAATGTTAGGAAAACATTTTTCCTAACATTTATGTTAGGAAAAAAGGCCTACAACTCCTAGCATGCCCTAGACAGTCTAAACTTACACAGGATTGCACCTTTAAATCCCATTGCTTTTGCACATGACTTAAGTCTAGATTAAACTTGCAATTTGTGTTCTGCCTTGAACACTAAAACCAAGTTTCTACTGCCATTAGTAAGAGGCCTTCATGATTTACACCTTTAACAGTCTACCTGTTTAGAACTGGAGGGGGGCAGTCAGAAGTTGTACACAGGTGTCCAAAATCAAATTAATATCCCCCCCTTTTTTCTTATAAAAAACTCAAAGTGGCTTACATCATTCTCCTCCTCCAGAATAACCCTGTGAGAGTCTGTGACTGGCCCAAAGTCACCCAGCTGATTCCATGGCCAAGCAGGGACTAGAATGTGTTGCCTGAGACCCAGTCTTACACTCTTAACCATTACACCACACTAGCTCTGAGATACTCTACACAAAAAATAGTTCAACAGGAGCAGCCAGCCAGGAACCAACATGTGCATTTAGCAGCACACCCTGGGTTGCCCTGACATAATGAACCACACCACTGTGTCTTATGAGGCTGAGGCGCATGACTTATCCCTAAAACTAAGCACTAGACTCCATTTTCAGTACTTCTGGTACTTGGAATCACATTGTCATGGGTCACAGTCTTCCATTTAACCCCATGTGAAAGCAGTTATAAACGGCCAGTTATAAACTTCCTTTCTTGGAAGTAGGTGAGTAGGAAGGGATAACCTTCATTATGCCCCAAGCCTGCTAAATATCCAGCCAACTGCTGCTATGTTCCCTGTCCTACATCAGAGGAGACAGCTGAGGATTTTCTCTTGCCAAATGGCGATAAACACCGGTCCTCGTGATGGTGGTGGACAATAATATATCACATGCCTCAGAATCAAACTTGCCAAGCCATAACTATCAGGAGTTAGTCATTTTAATTATTATGGCAAGACATTTCAAAATTAAAAATGCAAACCAATGTGTGTTCACAGCCACTTAGTTCAATATGGCTGTCTCCCACATAGGTGTATGCAGGACTGTACATTAAGTGTAAAGTTTAGTCAATGGTGCAAAAGACTACCATTTACTTAACAAATCCAGTTTATTCACAGAAGTAAATTTTCAGTAGATGCATCCTTACCTCAGCGCAGCACAGTTGTTGGCAAGGATGACTAACTTGGCTTTGCCTTGCCGGATCATTTTCAGAGTCTGCTTATAACCCAATACATATTTTCCACTTTTCATAACCAGCTGAAGCCTAGAGTTTATAGACTCCAAAGACTTTTTCTGTAAGAAAATACAAAGAATTCAGAATTATTTCAGCATTTATTGTGCACTTAACAAAATCATGGTATTCTGAATAGCTGTCCTTTCTACATTTAGCCCATGCATGTTATATTCAATATTATTGTATAAGCTCTTATCATTTCATATATATTTAAATTGTGTGACTGTAATTATACACCCAACCTGAAAGCACACTTGCATTTTTTAAGCCTCTAAAAAATGAGTTATTTGAGCATAACTCACACATCCTATTTTTATAGTAAGAGTTTGGGGAGCAAATAGGATTGTGCCCCCCACAAAGTGTTCAATACCATCACATCCTTGTTTAGTCCTCCAGTATTTATTTAGGCCACATACAGCTTCTACAAGCAGGTTTACATAACATGTTACTTTAGCTGTAAGCTTCATTTCCCAAACATTTGATGTCCTTCATTCTCTTCCTGTATGTTTTCTTCAAAAAAAAAAAAAAAACCCCTTTCAATGCGTTTTGTGACTTTTTACCTTAACCCTGAATATATGCATTAATAAAACCTGTGAAGTAGCGGCTCAACTTTCCACTAACTATCCTTACAAGTGTGACCCTCATGACAGTTGAAAGCCAATAGCAGAACATATGTCATCTTCACAGGTCAATAAGCAAGGGAGTTAACAATCCTGCATTTTATCTCATGGTTAAACTGAGGTTCCAAACTGAGGATCCAGCAACAGCTTTATGGCTGCAGTAAGTTCTCTACTATTCAACTTGTGGGGTGGAGTGCAAGGCGAGGTATATTAAACTATTGTCATGCAGACAGTTCTGGGAGGGGGGCTGTAGAAACTATCTGATTTATTTATATAAATAAACAAATTGTCAATTAGAACTTATAGTATGATGTAAGCTACAGCAGGACATAGTCCACAAAAGCACGGGCCAGAATAAATTTCTTCCTTTTCAAGGTTCCATTTAATCTTTGCGGTTTTTTGGTTCTATCGATTAACACGGCTACCTCTCCAGAAACTAACATCATCAGATGCGCCTCGCACGCATCTATAAAAAGGCTCTAGCAAACGACAACTCTCTTCTAGATTAGAAAGAAGCCAGGGCCGATGCGCCTGTGACAGAGCTCCCCAAGCCAGACTCGGGACCCTCTGCCCAACTTGACCAGGCCTCGCAGACTGCTTAAGGCCGCTCCTGAAGCTCTCGTCTCTCCCGCCGAGCCCCGGCGGTCCCCCCGCCGCCTCGTGAACCCCTTCCGCCCGCCGCTCGCAATGGCCACCTCCCCCACTCACCGTCTTCTTGGCGGCCACCATCGCGCCGGTTCACGTCGGCTCTGCCGTTTCCTGCACAAAAGAAGCGAGAGTTAACGCTGCCCCTGAAAGTGGCCACCCAAGCAGCCCCGCCGCTAATGCAACCCGTTTAGCCAGCCTCTCCCCAAAACCCGAGAGCCACTCACCAGGAGAAACCTCCAAGATGGCTGAGCAACGAGGAAAGGAAGGAATCTCCACAATGCAACGCGCCTAACCACGCGGCTGAGCCCGCGCGAACACCTACGATCGCGAGAAGAAGAGCGCTTCCGTTTTTCTGCCGACCCTCCGAAGCCCCATTATTTTCTTGGTAGGCCTTGAGCACGCGCTGGGGTCTACCGTGCCTCAAGAAGGCACCATAGAGATAGAAAAATGTGGGCAAATACTGGTCTCACTGAAATTATAACACTTCCGGCTCTCAGCGGAACGTTTCGAGAGAGAACCAATGGAATTTTTAGAAAGCGCTTGAAACTATAGGGATAAGGCAGGGGAAAGCTGCTCCTCTCATTCATCTTCAGCCCCGCATATATCGTACTATGCAAATCAAAGCCTGAAGTAAAGTTTCTTATACATATACCGCTTTTAACCTGGCCACCCTACCCATTTCCATCAGTCATAAAGGGAGCAAGGCACGGAGGACTTACGGGCTGAATCTTTGGACGTGTGAGAAAGCAGATTTAGGCGGTGATACTACATAGGAAACGTTGCACGTACCGAATTCCCTCACTCATGGAGGCGGGGAGAGAAGAATCTCAAACCCGTTTTTACGGTTCCGATGTTTACTATAACATACACTTTCCTGGGTGTGTGTTCTGTTAAATTAAATGGGGATTACTTTTTGAAAAACCAGTATTCAAATTGATTATGTATTTAACGCTTTGTTTTATTTTACTCCTTGCTCAGAAAGAATTCCAGAGTAGCTTAAAACAATCAGGATAGTCATTTCCCACAAGTTTACAATGCAAAAAGCCATATAAGGCATATGGATGGGGAGGGACAAGGAAAAAAATGTGTCCTTTTAGCTGGCTGTCAAAAGAACTGGTGAAATGGCCTGTCTTCCCTTTCATTGACCCTTAAATACAAAAATAAAATAGGCATATGAACCAGAGCAAGGGGATACTAATATGATCTAAAGTTCAAAATACCTTTGAACATGTACAGAGTATCTCTGTGAAACTACAGTTGCTTAAATTGCAGCTAAATAATTTTCCTCTCAAACCATGGGGTTATCTTTGCATCATAAATTTTCTGTAATTATCTCCAATTTATCATATTGTAGATGTAAACTGGAACACACCAAAGAATTTCAAGTGCTTGCCATACCCATTTCCATCAGAACCATCCATAGCTTCTCATATTTCACACAAAGGCTTTGGCATAGTCTATAAAGCACTTGATTGAGCTAATGTGTAGCCTGCATTATGCACAAGAAGCTATTGTAATGATAGAGTATGGAAAATAGACTATTCGGTCTGTATGCAGTGAAACAACTCGTGCAACTGCAAAAGCAGGACAGGAGTTGAATGTTAACAAAAATCCTGTTCACAGAAGATAATGAAAAAATGAAATTGTGAAAGATTTTGCATACCTTGGCTAAGCCATCAATTCAAAGGGAGGCTGCAGCCAAAAAATTTGAAGACGACTTGAGCAGCAGTGAAAAAATAACAAGTATAAGAAGATTGCACTGGAGACCAAAATCAACCACTTGATCATGTCCTGATCACTACATATCAATGTGACAATGAGAGGTGTGTCTTGCTGTTCCTCTAACTTATCCTCACATGTCTGGAAGGCAGATTTACTTTCCAGTGAGACTTCACTTGCCCTGCTACTTCAGTTTAGAAATCAAGCAATGGATTGTAGAAGTGCAAAATACTGAAACTGAGGGAAATGACAATAACAGTCTTCCCTTTAGAGAGCCTCAGCTATTGGGCAAGTATAAAAATGGAAAAAATAAATGGAAGGAAATAACGTAACTGCTCTGAAATTTCAAAATTTGGAGTAATAAATATTTCCAATTCCATGGGTTAAACAATCTTTTAACTATGGTTAGATATTGGAAGAGCTGTGTGTCAGTACTGGATTCTGAAGTATAAGGTGTGTTTCTTCAAGTCTGCAAGAAGACCTTTGTCTGGTGTTTGTTGGGCAGGGCATGTGCAATAATGCTGCAGTTAGAGCCTTGAGGCTCATTTAGATCACCTGTGTTTTAACTATGTGGACCTTCTTAGTTTTGAGGGTGTATTCCTATGCATGTTAGGAAGGAAAAAAAGTCCTGTAACTTCCAGCATTCCCTAGCCAGCATGCCACAGAAACAGGCAGAAAGTAAGCCTGTGTACATTTTTCCACTGTCAGATGAATTTGAGGGCTTTATTTGAATTCCATTCTGGCAGCTGTACTAATTAGATTTCTTTCTACTGGTATTACAAGTGGCAGACTGAGGTTTTTAAAATGATCACATTTAAAGCAAGTGCAAACATGCCCATTCAGTTTTCCCTTGTTCATGCATTTTTCTAATCATTTACTATGAGGAAAACAAGTATACTTCATTGTTCCAAACCTAGCACAATGAGGAATTCGAGATACTAAGACGATTGGCATTTGCTGAATCAGCATTGGCATATTTTGTCATTCAGTTATCCAATCAGATAATAGTTAAATGTTGCACAGTGGGGGAAGGTGGATGAAGTGTGCAGAATAGCAGAGAAAATCCTGAAGTTCATTGTTAGACCATACCCCCAAAACATACAGAGTCACAAGGGATGGGTAATGTAACTATGCAGAAAAGGTGAAATATTTTACCAATATTTCTGAGATGCTTTGATTTGCCTGGACCTGATAAGCATGTTCCATGCAAAGGCCATTGCCCTTTACACTAGCAGCACCAGATAAAATAAGCCTTTTCACTTTTAGGAGCTACATGTCCACAGAGATCATGGGAATTCACAGAACTGGGGTTTGCAGATTACACTGATCACACAAAGAAGATGGAAACAATGCTAGTATAGAATTCACTTGAACATCAGTCAGGCATATCTAGGCACAAAAAAAAGTATGCCATTGCTTGTCATAACATACAAACCCAAACAAACTGAGCAAATTCTACAGCTCAGTGTCATAAAATGCAATTAATTCTAAGTTCAGGATCAAGAAGCCAAAGTACACAATTTATGGAATTTGGGACTCCAGTGATATGGTGAGGGCCACTAGCTTAGAGTGCTTTAATAGAGGATGGCTCTATTAATTGTTTTTATCATGTATTTATTTATTAAATTTATAGTCCACTATATTAGCCCAAGGGCCCCCTAAGCCTTTATCCATCCTATCTAAATAGAAACTCCAGTCTAGTCTGAAAAACTGATGCTGGAGAAAAGAAAACAGGAGAGGACTGTTCTCCTTGTGGCCTTCTCAAAAGAATTCTGCAAGCCACTGTCAACAAGATGTTTGACTATACACAGGAGGGGGAGAGATTTTACTTAAGTCATAGAACTTAAGATGGGGTAAATAAGGTTTCTTTAGGTCTCTGACCAGATCCAGTCCTGCTTAGCTTCAGTAAAACTGCCATTTCATGTGCCTTCATGCTGTGTGATTGACTTCAATTTACTTTTGGTATTATCTGAACTTTACGATTAAAAAGACTTCTAAGTAGTTATTTCTATATTCCTACCCTCAGCATTGGCTTCAGGTTTGAAGAGCCCTTGGGAAAGATACCCCTTAATGGCTCCCTCCCTCAGTAAAGTTACCTTACCATCGTCCCTAGTTGCTATTGTTCTTTATCTTTTCTCATCATGGGGTTGCTTCATATACATAGAGTTAGTAAGCAGGCAGTAGAACTTCCATCTCCTCCTTTTTACCACAACTACAGTCTAGGGCAGAGCAAGAGGCAGGTAAGCAAGATAGTTGCAATGATAAAAGGGGTCCTTGTCAATAAACTCCTGGTGTGATGTTGACCCTTGGCAGGTTCCAATCCTGCCTAATTTTCATGTAGGTGCTTCCTATTATAATTCTGCTAAACTTTAATCTGTGGTATGAACAAGCTTCAATCCGTATAGGAACTGGCACTAAAACCAAGTGGCTTCTAAGTTTCAGCTGAGCTATATCAAGAGCTATCTATAAATATCCTTTCTTAGTCTAGTACAGCTGTTGCTCAGATGGGTTAGACAAGTCGATTCACATCTTCACATTCTCAGAAACCATTCCATGCCTAATAGCACAGATTCATCAAGGCCCATTAGGTAACATGATGATTATCAATGATAGCATTTACCTTTTTCAACAAGTATACTACATAAGATTTCTCTGCCATGATTTGTTCTGATAACTTTGGATTACAGTTGGATTTAAGACTTTTGAGATTTACACTTTGTTAATTTTGTAGAGTTCTGTATTTTCTGATCAGTTATGTTTGGATTGTATATAAAAATTTTGCCACACCTCAAATGGCAGTTTATTTGGTGTTACCAGTTTTGCATAAACTTGGCTCCTTCAGCCAGTGTCCTCAGTACTTCACATCTATCCTGGTATGTAGCAAATGCCACTGCTGTTTCAGACCACATTAAACAGTTACTAGCAGCATCACATGTTCTTACCTGACAGAACAGTTGAGATTCTCACAGAACAATGTACAGTGGATACTTATTTTGCTTTTATAGTTTAATTTTTTTTTCTTTTACTGATAGTCAATCCTTTGCCCAACTGCTTTAAACCTTTCAGCCCAAGGCTCAGATTCAATTCACAAAAAACTCTCGGATTGAACTAGAAGACCTTTGAGATTCTGCACAGGCTAATTATGTGGGCTGGAATTGTTACATGGAAAAGCTCAGTGCCAGAGATGCTGCCAGGAATGTGCAGCAAGAGATGGCAATCTTATGAGAACAGAACTTGAATAGGTTTTGTTGTAACATATGAAAAATCTCTGAAAATGGTTCTGCATGGAAGCCATAACATGTTAAATTGTTTAAACAGGACTTAGTAGGACACAGGTATATACTGATGAAGTTTAAATCAACATAAACAGAATGGAAAAATGTGCAACTTATTTTTGGATTGAAGACAAGGCTGGAGTCCTGAATCTTTCACTTGTGGTCCTGAAATGGTGGGAGCACAGGGGCTCCTGACCCTGTGGTCCATGGGCACTTACTGAAATACGCATGCCCAGAGGAGCTCTGTTCCATCCCAGTCCCCTGGATTAGCTGGCCTTTTGCCACATGTGCATCATCTGCTGTTTGCCTCCTTACATCTTTTTACCTAAGTGTTTTTGTTGTTGTTGTTTTGCAAAGCTAAATGCCCTCTTTTCCACATCCATACTCTCTTTTTTACAAATGGGGCATCTTTAGGAGATAGGGCCCCTTAAAGACACATAAAGAGACTTGGGAGCTTATGTAGATTAGCATATGCAAATTTGGGGGTTGCTTCTGTGGGCCTGAGCCTCGAATCTTGGGTACCTAGCACCGCCCCTAGCCATCCGCAGCCTGAAATCTACCTAATGATGTGATCAGCCTTGGCTGCTGAGCTTGTCTAGGCAGAGTAAGGCGGCTGCCTCAGACGATGAACAGTGAGTGGTACACTAGTTATTTGATTTACTACAGCTCTACTGGTACTGCCAGGGAGAGAGGAAGACGCGCGTGTGGCATTTTCTGCCTCTGGTGCCCCACTAACCTTACTTGTCTTGGGTAGCAACGCCCCGTGAGCGAGAAGAGGAGCAGGGGATAGCTTTGCTGCTCGCCCTTGGGCAGCAAAGGATCTCAGATCGGCCGCGCTGCAGCATCACGTACACCCCCGGGGGTGCCGGGCTCAGCCCTCGCCTTGTTTGCCCCCCCAGGGATCTGTGCGGCACTTGTCCCGCCACTGCCGCGCCTGCGCCGTACGCGCCCGAAGAATGCCAAAAGTTAGGCGAAAGCGCGCACGAGAGGGGCTGGCGGCGCCGTTCTTATGGCAACCGAACTCGAGCGATAAACACTTGCCCGTGCGAGCCTATGAGAGGCGAGTTCTTCGGCACGCGCAGCTCCGTGGGGGGTGGCGCGCGCGCTTTGCTCCTGCAGACGGGACACCTGTCCGCATTCCCTTCGCCTCTCCACCCTAGTGCGTGTCCGCGGCGGCGGAGACGACGCCCTGGGCCGTGCTCCCGGGTTTCTCCATCCTCGGCCTCTGGAGCAAGGAGTTGGCCTGTTCCTGGCGCACCATGGGGTGCTCGAGCAGCGCTCAGACCCAGGTCAAGGACTGCAGTCGGCCGACCCCGAAGTCCCCGGACGCCAATGGACTGCAGACGTGCGGTGAGTGGCGCCCCGGTGCGCTTGCTGTTGCTTTTTATTCTGGCGAAAGTGGAGGAAGGAAAAGGGAATGAGACGGGCACGGGAGACTTTTATTCCCACACGCATCCTGTAACAAGAGAAACACCGCGTTAAAAGAACTAAATCCACTGGGGTGGGGAGCAAGAGCGGATTTTGTTCTTTAAGAGCCTGAACAGGAAGATGAGGCTTCTTACGTACTTTTTTTTTTTTTTTAAGGAAAAGAGCGAGAATTTTTAAGAGGTGGTGCACTATCGATGAGCTGCAGTTGATGAAATTCCTTTAGTTCTGTACAGCTCCTTAAAGAGCCAGGAGCCCTAACCTGCCTCGTACCTCGCTGTACTAAATTACACTCCCGAATACCCCTTGTTACAGGACAGCAGGTTATTACTTTTTGACAAGTGCACAGGCTTATTTTTTTCCTTTCATCACCCCTTCCAGCCGCAGCTTTAAACACTTTCTGCCTGATAGAGGAAAGCAAACCAGGCACCCATCGTTATACGTTACAGCTTGTTTTATTGATAAAGCTGCCATTCTGAAATCATGCAGTTTCATCATGAGGCGTAAATTCCCCCTCCCGCTTTATTTATTGGTCCTAATAATTAACCATTGTATATGCCTGGTCATAAGTCAGCTTGGCATTAATGGGTATTTTCTCTTTTATTAAATTAAAACAAATTCTCTTTTCAGATATATTAAGTTTCTCTTGTATTTTTCCATATCAATATTCTGCAACTCCTTCCATTTAGCTTGTATTTCTGCTAAATGATATAAACAAATTGATACATTGAACTGGCTGTAAGAACATTAAACTCTGGGTTAAAATGATACTTGCATCAAAATTGTTATCTTGCATATCAACTAATTATGCTTAGATCCAGGAAACTGCTGAGGATATAAATCCTTTGCAAACCTTCCTGAGAGTTAATCTCAACAAGCCCTGTAGGGTTATTTCTGAGTAACCAGTTAGAGTTGTGCTGTTTTTTACCTGTTGTAGCTTGTGAATAATGTCATGTTAGCAGTTTTTCATCTCCTTACTCTAAATATTTATATATGGTTATATTATACAAACATTATTTATATAATTACAATTTTTTATAATCTTTATCGGTACAACTGCAAACATGGGCCAATTTTCCCTGTGAAATTTAAAGACATTTGCAACTTTAAACACAAGAAAGTTATGTCTACATTCATGTTTTTAGACGAATGTAGACATTAAGATGAGAAAAATAAGGTTAAAGTATGGTTTTCCAGAGTCATTGATCAGATATTTTCATTTTTGTACAATATGTAAAAGTTCATAACTTGGTTTAGAAATGAGCAAAATTCCACAGGGCACTCAAATGTGAAATAACCTTTACTGAATGCTACACTCTTAGGACACAGCCCTGTGCCTCTGGCTGAGGAAGGCAGGGAGCTGTAGGACTTTGTTTAAACATGCCTAGGATTGTACCCTTACTAATCTTAAAATGGTGACTGTCCTTGGTTGCAGCTCTGTTGCTGTTTCCTTGAACTATTTTCCACCAGGCACGTATCCATTTCTACTGCTGTTTTGGTTGGTATGGTGGATGGCCTCTGCTGAGAAAAGACATTATCTTTGGTGGCTTTTAATGGAGCTCCATAAAGTTCTGTATTCTGCCCCTTATATTAACACTGTGTGAAACTGTTGGGAAAGCTTATTTAAGTACTTGATGCAGGGGGGAGAGATCAGTAGGCGATTTACACTGGCCCTCTAGAGTCTTCCATCAGATTCAGCAGTGTAGAGCTAATGCAGGCATATAAAAGGAAACACTTTTTTGTTTACCCGGTTCTCAGCTTGGCAACTGTAAGGGAAGGCCAGCTTTCATCTAGCTCAGCAAGAGATGGCCCATAGCAATCTGTGACTGCAAGCCAGGAACGTACTATGCGGATATTGGGTTGTTTTTACTGGTATAATTTGTATTTACTATTACTAGTTGGTACACCTCCTTCTTCTAGAAAGCTGGTCAGATTGATCTCCCCATACTGGAATCCAGTCCATTCATGAAGATCCAATTCTCAAACCTTGCAGGGGTGGGTGGGGGGCTTTGTACTGCCAAGGTAAGGAAGGGCAGGGAAATCCATTTTCATGAATTCATGATGGAACATCCTGCAGGCAATCCTCTGGCATCCAGTTAGTTTCTAGGTTTCTAGATTGAGGGAACAGCAAGGCTACAAGTCAGCTTAAAATTAAGCTTTGAAAGATCAACAAAGTACATACTAGAGAAGAGTAATTAAACTTTATGCATAAAAAGGAAGGAACTGCAAGTATCCTTCATTTTAGGCATTTTGGACAAACTGGGATTTAAATAGATGCATGTATGTCAAAACCTTAATGAAGACAGCTTTTGAGGATTTATATTTGGCAATTCTTAAAGAACACAAAGGCTACAAAAATTTGGGAAGATTTAGGTTAGAAAAAAGGGGAATCGATGGCCAGTGTGATAGAGAGATATAAAGTTATGTTAAGAAAGACCATGGATAGGGAGAAGTTGAAAGACATCCAATAAAATTGAATGGTGAAAGATTCAGGAAAGAACAAAAGATTATTATTATTATTATTATTATTATTATTGTTATAACATTTCTATGCCGCCCCTTGCCGAAGCCTCGGGGCGGCTTACAACACAATAAAATACATTGAAATACAATAGAACATAATAAATTACCACTAAATACAAAAATAAAAAAATACACTGAGATAAAAACATAATAATATAAAATATAATATAAAATTTTGCAAATGAAGTATAGGTAACTTCAGGACCGATTAGAGCACTTGCAGTGTTAGAAAATTTTTGTATGGGAAACACTAATGGACAAAAAAATAAAAGCTTTTGTCTCAATTTGATATAAAAATATTGTACAAGATGAGTGCACCGGTTACAAAGGAACAAA